AACTCCACTGTACCCTTTGCTGGATCTTGTGCAGATCCATGTACAGTTTTTCATTTCTCTGGAAATGCCCCCGGCCAAAAGCAAAAGATTGATATGTTAAGACGGTAGAATTATGGGTTCTTTTAAGTAAATTTAAAATTTGCGTTTTTAAAATGAGATATTCTAATAAATATTATTGCAACTTAGATGCAATATTACATTCTTAAAATGTAATGTTTCAGTAATAGAGTTTTAATAGAAATGAAAATAGGTGCATCATTGCATCAAATGCTGAATGGTTAGGTAGATAGATTAAGGATTGAGAAGGGATACTGGATTTAGTAATTAAAAGATACTGACTCTTTAATATTTGGTAAATTTAGGTGAAGCATGTACCGGTGTTCATTTTACTATTCTGAGAGCTTAAAAACTTTCAAAATAAATTGGGTAAGCAAAAAGTGCTAAGAATTATATGCTTTAATCAGAACTCTTTCAATTATTGCAGTTACCTAGGAAGTGCACAGATACTGCTAAGCAGTAAAGTAAGTGGGGACCCAGATGCATTCCCCTAGTGTCTACGCATACAAAAGCTGGATAATGAATAAAGACCAAAGAAGAATTGAGACAGTTGGGGGGAAAAAAAAAAGATAATGACCTTTTCCAAAGCTGTTTTAATGGGTTATTAAATGTAGAACCAGATATAAGGAGAGTAATTTGGTGATAGGAGTTCCTGGGTGGTGGACACAGTTAATGTGCTTGACTGCTAACTGCAAGATTGGCAATTTGAATCCACCCCCCAGCACCTCAGAAGAAAGAAAGACTTGATGATCTACTTCGGAGAAATAAGCCATTGAAAACCCTCTGGAACACAGTTCCATGCTCAATACACATCAGTTGCCATGAGTTGGATTTGACTGGACAGCAACAGGTTTAATCTGGTGTTAAGGAACTTTAAAGGAAAGAAGAGATGATATACTTTGTGAAGAAATTAAGATTGAAGGAGGTGTTTGTTTAAAGAAAGGAGAATGGGAATTCAGCATGTTTGTAGCCTGAAGGGAAGCAGAGGAAGGTATGAAAAATGCTAAGTAGTACGGGAATAGTTAATGGGCAACAGTGCATAGGAGAAAGGAAGGGAAGCGACTAGAATGAAAAGCACTGATAATGATACTGACCTTGGAGAAGAACACTCTGTAACAGGATAAGAGAAGGAAAGCTAAGTGAATATGAAGAAAAATTTTGAGGCAAGGCAAGGGAATTTGAAAAAGTTAAGAGTGACGTCAGAGGTGACATTTCCTAAGAGATGGATTTGGGATGGAAATAAAAACGTAAGAAGAGTAAGAGAGAGGCCTAAAACAGTTTCTATAGGAGATAGATAGAGATAAATTTAAAGAATTGATGGACCAAGTAAGTGTCCAACTCAGAATGAACAATATAAAATGTTAATGAAAAGGGGAAATTCTGATATGTGCTAGGTGGTGGGCTTGATAAAGGAGGCTAGTTCAGCCTCAGATTAAGACTTTTCACCAATACTAGTAATTACAGGAAAGAGGAGGAAAGGAGGTAGGGTTTGCCCAGATTTAGGAGTTAGCAAAGTGCAGTTTGTCCTACCATGACAGTTTCTGTGTTGCTGCGATGCTGGAAGCAATCCCATTGGTCCTGAAATACCAATAGGGTTTTCCATGATGGGCAGGTTTCAATGAAGCTTCTAGATCAAGACAAACTAGGGGAAAAGCCCTGGTGTTTTACTTCAGAAAATTAGCCAATGACAACCTTAGGAATGACAGCAGAACATTGTCCAAGATAGTGCTGGAACATGAGCCCCTCAGGGTGGAGGGGGCTCAGATACGACACAGTAGCCTAGACAGTGGGCTGAGACATGTCAGATCATGGAGATGATGCAGGACTGGGCCCCATTTAGTTCTGTTACTCATGTGAGGTTGCTGTAAGGCATAGCCAAATTGAGTGGCAGCTAACAACAACAAGGCACCTGTGATCAAAGTCGGGGGGAATCTAAGATGATAATGAGTCTATTGGGTGGGCCATGGCTTTAGCATGGAGGCAGCTGACAGGATAGAAAATGGCAGATTTCGAGATACCAGAATTTTGAGTGAGAGGGAAAAGAGCAAAATTTGTTAGAAAGAAGGAAGTTGTGGTTAGTATTTTATCATGCCCTGGCTCAGAAGGAGGATGTGACCATTATTAAACTGATGTTAAGGAAGTAGAGAAAATACACTTTTAGATATGACATGGTGAAAAGAAAGTTGGTTTGGCTATCAAGCAGATTTGGTTTTGAATCTTCGCTTTATCATTTTGTAGCTAAGTGACAGTGGACAAGATATTACATCTCTTGAGTGTCAGTTTTTGCATATGTTAACTGAAAGAATGCCTTACAGGACTGTTGCAAGGGTTAGAAACAAGGTATGTTCAGTAGGTTGGAACGGTGATTGAGTTTTGTTGTTGTTGCTAGTTGTGGTTGAGTCAGCTTCAACTCATAGCGACCTTATGGATAGCACTACGGCGTGTTGCCCAGTGATTGAGTAGCTGTAGGCAAATATAGTTACTGTGAAGTCCCATAGTTTTAGGATGCAGATGGAGTTATTTCCAGGAATTTCGCAGCCAAGTGGGAAAGAAATTATGAGCAACACAGTTTACGCTGGCATCAAGATGAATTAGAAGCAAGAGAGACGAGGCAGGGAGACCAATTGACTTTTGCAGTAATCAAAATGAGATGTGCAAGAATTTACTAACTATTGTGCTGGCAGTAAAAATAATGAGGCATTGAACAAGGAAGAAGTTGTCAAGATAAAACTTAGAAGTACTTGGTATTGATTTCAGAGCCCTGGTGGGACAGGGCTTAACTGCCAACTAAAAGGTCAGCAGTTCAAACCCGCCAGCCACTCTGGGGAAAGATGTGGCAGTCTGCTTCTGTAAAGATTTACAGCCTTGGAAGCTTCTTGGTTTCTGCTGTGTCTTATATGAGTCAGAGTAGACTCCATGGCAGTGAGTTTGGTTTTGGGTTTGGGGTACTGATGAGCTGCAAGATGTGAGAGAAGGGTCACCTGACCCCTGGGTTCCTGCATAAGTCAAATGTATGGATGATGTTTCTGTTATCTTGAGAAAAGGAAAGACCTTGGGACTTCATAAACTGAAACAATTTCAAAAGAAAATTTTGGAGTCCAAGCAAGGAGTATCAATGTCACATTATTTTATTTTCAAAAGAACATTTTTAAACCAAAAATTTAGAGGAAAATAATCTCAGACCAAAGAAAGGACAGTACTTTGAATGAAAGCTTTATAAATACCTCACTACATTGTTCTTATTGCCTCTCACTTCACTGCAAAGCAGTGAACACTTTATCAGCCTTTAAATTTTAGAATGTACAAGAAGAACCAAATGCAGGGAAGAAAAAATTAAGACATCTGAGTGTTGTAACAATAATAGGCGGTATTTATTGAACACTCTTATGTAGCAGGCACTGTTCTAAATGCCTTCTGTGGTGGTGAAGTTTGTGTGTCAACTTGGCTGGGCCTGGTTGAGTGGCTGGGCAGCTGAATGTAGTTATTTCCCATAATGCGATTGGTAATTAACTCCAGGGTGGAATCTATTGGAGCAGCTGAGTAGCTGCTTTGGGTATGTGGTCTGCTTCCTGTATATAAGAAGTACCTTTGGGAATGGTCTCTAGCCTATGGCACGCTTGGACCCTCCATGTAGCCATGTTGTTGTTCAGCAGCCTGCCATGCTCTGCTGACCTTGGAACTTAAAATGGACTTGTCAGTGGCCTGCTGTGTGGTTTGGTAACATCAGGACTGTGCCATTTTTTTTTCTCGACCTTGGGCTTGTTAGCCTCAGCAGCCAGTAGCTGCCTGAGTGAAGAGATGCCTCTAGCTTCAGTTGGCCGGGAGCAAGTGGCAGAGCTGAAGCCCAAGGTCAAGGGGCTTTCACCCAGCCCCTAGAGCCTGGCACTTTGAACTCGGACTTCTAGCCTCCTGAACTGTAAGAGAATAAACTCCTGTTTGTTCAGGCCATCCCATTTGTGGTATATTCCTGTCAGAGTGGCACTAGGTAACCAGAACACCTTCCATGTATCAGCTCATCAATATTAAGCAACTAATTTTAATGGAACAAAGTATAAGCAAATTATTTGAAGAGTGTAGTATGAAAGGGTAATAAATTCTGACAGTAATGGGAAGGCATTTGTGGAAGAAGTAGCATTTGATCTGAAAACTTTAAAAGTGAGTAGAATTTAAAATGTTTATGTTTGAGTGTTTTTTATTTTTTTTGCTGGGTTTGTGGTGCTATATTCAAAATGAAAAAAAAATAAAAAAAGCTTAAGCCACTTTATAGGTAGTTCGTTCTTCTTAGGGAAAGCCTACCACTTCTTCCAAGTAGAGAAACCATACAAGACAACAAAAAGCATTAAGTTGTATCAGTGGTTAACATTTGAAGGGGAAAGATAATTGTAATGTTACATTAACACCTAGGGAAACAAGGCAGGAAATTGAAAGCCCCTAAAAATTTTTCTTGTTAGCTTATGTTGAAAATGAGGATAAAATTTAGAATACAGGACAGTGCAGGAATTGAGCTTTTCAAATTCACTCATTATTCATGGCTATGATGACTTCTTTTTACAGTTCTTTGCATTTAATGTTCATAGTGATAGATGCCATCTTAAATAATTTTAAGGCATATTTGAAATCTGGCTTTTTAGGGATAGCTTGAAATTAAAAATATATATATATAAAGGAAATGTTTTAACTTAAAAAATCTCTAACAACTTAATTAAATTAAAACCCATGTCAAGCATCAGGCTAATAGCCCTTAAATGCAGGAACAGAATATTTCTTTGTATCTAGTAATGTTACTTCATACAGATAAGGGAATTTGTATATTTGATGTTTTCAATCAGTTTTAATTAAATTTCTTATTGGATTAAGTCTCCTGAAGTAATTGTGTTTTATTGTATTGTATTTTCCTGTTTTCACCTGCATTCAATGAAATGTTGTTTGTTTTTATTTACCAGGAAAGGCCGTTGTTTACCTTGTGGCTTTCCATCTGTTCTTTGTTATGTTTGTATGGTCCTATTGGATGACAATTTTCACATCTCCCGCTTCCCCCTCCAAAGAGGTAAATTCGATGTCGGTAAATTACCAAATGCTTTAACTGATTATGGAATGATTTTCCCTTGTGTTACGTCTGTTAAAACTTTACATAATGCACTTGTTTGTTTCCATTCATGAAATACTCGGTAACACCTCATCATTAGCTGATTTTCAGTTAAAACCTACTGTCATAGCCTAGTAAAAGATTGATAATAGTGTCTAAAGTTTAGCTGTACTCTACTTTTCTACCATACTGTGTTTTCTTAAATTAAAGACATGCTTTAGGTTAACGAAGTAAAAAGTCTTAAATGATAAATTGAGTTAGGAAAGGAGAGCTTATGTTTTAGAAACATGACATTAACATTTTCTCAGACCTGAACAAAGATGCTGCATCTAAACCTGTTTTGATTACAGGAGATCAGTGTTCTAGCCTGTTCCTCATTACACCTTGATATGATTAGGGTTACTTCTAATTGGACATTTCATTTGGAAAGAATATGAGTAAACATTTACATACAGTGAAGTTTTAAGACTGATATTTCTCCTTTATCCTGACATTGCAGATTGAAATCTTTCACCTAAAATTTAGTACTGCAAAATGGTTAAGAGCATAGACTCAAACGTGAGTTTGATTTTCTCCTCTAATGTATTCTCTCTCTAAACCTCAGTTTTGTCATTTGAAAATGAAGCTAGTGCCTATCTCTGAATGATGTTTGTGAAGATTGAGATTTATCCGTATAAAACTTTTAATGTTGGGTTCCCCCCCACGGCAGGGCTTCCCCAACCCAAGTCAGGGATAACGCCACCCGAAATCACTCACGAAAGACGTCTCTTGATGCAAAAGCAGGAGGAGTTTATTCGGAGTTCCAGCGCGCTGGGGCTCGACTCATATCCCACGCAGGGGCAGAGGAGTAGAGCCCCCAGCTTCCAACACACATACTATTTAAAGAAATATTCGGAAAGGGCGGAGGAACGAGAGGGTGGTGGGGGTATCAGGGATTGGTTAGGGGACAGGGGTGGACAAAGGGAATTCCAGTGATAGGCCAGTTTATATTTCGGCGCGAATACAAAATACAAGTGATCGGTTATTTTAACATAGTTTTACAGGTCATTGGTGGGTTCATACTTTGGTTTTCTGGCGGGAGTGTGGACGACTGATGTAATTTTCCAGGAACTGGGGCCCGCCTTTTTACTGGTCTTAATGGTGGCCTCTCTTTGTCATGTTGAAACATTAAATTTTAATTTCACATTAACATAGTACCTGACATGGTTGGAGGAGCCTTCATGGTGCAGTGGTTAAGTGCTAGGCTCCTAACCAGAGGTCGGAAATTCAAACCTAGTCTGTGAGGGAAAGATAAGGCAATCTGCTTCTGTAAAGATTACAGCCTTGAAAGCCCTATGAGGCAGTTCTACTCTTCCTATAGGGTCACTGTGAGTTGGAATCAATTCCACAGTGATAGGTTTTGGGGACTGTAGGGTTAGCACTCAAATGTTAGGTGATGATTGATGATGCTGATATAATTCTTTATCTTCTTATTAAATTCATCAAAATTCATTCAACATTATAGATCGTATCATTGAAAATACCAATATCTGTTTGACTTTTTAATGAAGAACATATATATAAAGACATCCATAAGTATACATTCACTGAATTTTCACAAACTGAACACACATGTGTAACCAGCGCCCAGTTCAAGAAACAGAGCATTACTCATACCTTACAAACTTCATGCTTGCCCCAGTTACCCACTCATAAGTATCCACTGTACTGCCTTCTAACTGCATGGGTGTGTTATGCCTGTTTTCACATTTTGTATAAATGGAATCATACAGTACAAATGCTTATATGTCTGGCTTCTTTCATTGACATTGTATTTGTGAGATCCATCCATGTTGTTGTATATTGCGTAACTGCTTCATTACCAGGTCACCTGTTGATAGGCCTTTGGGGAGTTTTCAGTTTAGGGCTGTTGCACATAGGGCTGCTGGATACATTCTGATGCATGTCTCTGGGAGAACATACATCTGCATTTCTTTTGGGTAGATGCCTAAAGTGGATTGGCTGGATCTTATGTATACATTCAGCATTGGTAGATGGCGTCAGACAGTCTTTTGCATTTTTTCTATCAAGTGCTTTTGTTTTAAGGGGTAAAATAAACCGTAAGTCAAACAATATATTCTTAAGACATTTGGTAATCGATCAGTACCCTTAAAGTTATGCTATAAACTGCCGTCCATTTGCTTAATCTCATGATTGATACTGACCTAATTCACATCAGACCATGTGATTTCTATATTCTGCTTGAAAGTTCCAGTGGTCAGTTTCTGCTTAATGTGAAGGAGGAACTTTCAGATGAGTTAGAAGTCTCTTAAAATAGGAAAGTATTTCTATCTGCAAGTATTTCTGAAGAGATGTGTTGAAGTATAGCGAAAACCCCTGCCTGTGCTAGGTTTGATAAGTCTCTCCCAGCTCTAAGGTGGTGTGAGTCTTTTCCAACTCCTTTCTGCCCTGTTCAGTTCTCCAAGTTGCTTCTTGACCTTTCTAAGTCATTGGGAATTGTTTGTGCCATCAGGAGCTGATTGTGGGAGCCAAGCCATAAACTAGGTAATCTAAATATATATTCTGTTACTAAAGGGTGACATTTTAGTTAGAGTAATAGCCTACAAAAAAGCAAGAGCGCTTACCTCGTGTAGAGGGAAACATACTGTAATAGCACTCAGAAGACCTACGTTTTGATGTCAGCTCTGCCAGTAATTATGCAATCTTAGGAAATTCCATAAGCCTCCATAGGGACCCAATCAGGGCTCTTCTCTGCCAAGTCACTACCTTATTTATAACAGAATTTAAGCTCATGCTGTTACTGATAAAAAGGTAGCCCAAGTATGTGAATTTTTTGTATTTAAGTTAGCAGGTAGGCTAAAACCAAATGAAACCAAACTCACTGCCGTCAAGTCAGATCCAACTCACAACGACCCTCCTTGGGTTTCTGAGGTAGTATCTTTATGGAAGTAGATTGCCCCATCTTCCTTCCAAAGAGTGGCTGGTGAGTTTGAACCACCAGCCTTCTGGTTAGCAGTCAAATGCTTTAGGCACTACGCTACCAGAGCTCCTAGGTAGGCCTAAATATGAAAAATAAAATTCTATTCATGATTCCTTGAGCCTTTTCAAGCAGAGCCCTATTTAAAAAATTAAGGAACAGAATCAAACAAATCTCAAATTACTTAGTTGAAAAAAAAAATCGGAAAAATGAAGATTGATAGGAACACAGAGCTCCTTGTCAGACATAAAACTTGACAGTCCTTGAACTGCTGGGTGATAAGGAAAGAAGCAACTAAACAAGTGCTTTTTAGAGAAAATGCTATTAAAAGAAATGAGCCAGAAGCTGGCCATCTGGTGGGAGAACAAATGCTAAAAAATGGAAACTAGAAACAACTCCAAGAAGGAATCTCTCCCTGAAAAAGACTATGTTTGCCTTGACAGTCCATGATGATTCTGGATGCAGTAATCCTGTCCATTAAAACAAAGCAGTAATAGCTAAAACAAAGTAGCAAGAGAGTGATCTGTTGAAGAATTTCAAATTTTCATGGACTCTAGACTTTCTGGAGGCATGGGGCTGGATGAAACCCCTGAAACTATTGTGGTGAGATCATCTTTAAACCTTAAACCAGAAAATATGCCCTAAAGTTTTCTCAAAATCAAATAATTTAGCTAAACAAGTAAAAAAAATGTCTGACTTGAGCATTATGCTCTTTTAAAAACTACTTTTTGAGGGATCAGAGTGACAACAGCAATTCAGAAGCTTAGATAAGCTTAGGGGCGGTAAGTTTATATTAATGGAGGGGGAGCAACTCAGAAAAGGAGGTAAAAATGGTTGCACAACTCAAAGAATGTAATCAGTGTCACTGAATTGTACATGTAAAAGCTGTTGAATTGGTATGTTTTACTGTATATGTTTTCCACAACAAAAGAATGACCTATTGACCTCATGGAAATATTTGGCCAGAAAATAGTGGGATTCCGTGCCTGTGATTTTTCCTATCACCCAGAAGCATGTGAAAATTTAAAACTTGAAGATCTCTTGCCAGTGACCTTCCAACAACAAAATTTTTACTAATAAAAAGTATATATTAAGCTCTTTTGATGGAGGAGTTTAATCTTACAGCAAAGTAAAACAAAGACACCAAAGTATTTAGCCCATGGTCTTTGCCATTAGTATTGGTATGTACTTTTCAGATAAAATGCTATTAAAATACATATTTTTAGAGCAAAATACTTTTTTGAAAGAGCAAATATTTTTTAATCTATCAGAGGCATGTAGTTTTTATTAAAATGTGCTTGATTTAACTTCTTAAAATTAAGTTTGAACACAAATTTTGCCTTCATAAAACAGTATTTTTGGTCTTTTTTTCTCCTCTGAATAAAACTTTTTCTGAGCATGGTATTAATATTATCGTAGGGTGAAAAATGAATAGTTCTCTCTCTTTTTATAGTTCTACTTATCCCATTCTGAAAAGGAACGTTATGAAAAGGAATTCAGCCAAGAAAGACAACAAGAAATTTTGAGAAGAGCAGCAAGGACCTTACCTATCTATACTACATCAGCTTCCAGGAGTAAGGGCAGCAGCTCTTAAGCTTTTCTTTCTAAATGTTTTTTTTTTTAATATATTCATTTCTGCTATTAAATGGATGCTATGATTGCCACAAATGACATCTGCAGGAACAAAATTTCCCTGTCTCCTGCATCTTTTAAGTTATTTCAGGGTTGTAGATATGTAGTATATAGATGTTCTTACGGGTTCCCCTTAATGCAAGTCTCTTTTCTCTGCATCCCCTCCCTTTTTAAAAAAAAAAAAAACCCTTTATAGCTAAGACTTTCAAGTATTATTCTTAGCACACCCTTATTTGAAAAATCTGGTTTGAATTTGAATATTGTGTGTCATCACTGAGTAATAAAAAATTATACAAAATCAAGAATATGTTAACTTAGAGGAGAAGCAGAAGAAAATAAGGCAAAGAGATGCATTCAGGGTCATTTATTTGCTCTGGTTCTAGTCTTTCCTGTGAAAATTGTTGGGGTGAATTGCATTTCTTAGGTCTTTTATCTCATGATATTTTGATTTGAGACCTTCTCCAGTGCGTTTTGCTATTACTTAAAAATTATTAGTTGTCAATTTCCCAAAATTGTTTCTGAAAGAAATGAAAGCAAGTTATAGGCATAATACTTAAGTTTGTATATCCTTCAAACAACTTCCTTTTAATTCTTAAATGTAGCCATCAGATACTGCGAAAGATGTCAGTTGATTAAACCTGATCGTGCACATCACTGCTCAGCATGTGACATGTAAGTGTGACTCACTCATTTGTTGTCATTCAGCCCACACTGGAGATTGCTCATGGGAGAGTGGAAGGGAAAAGAACATTTTCTATAGTTCATACTTAACAAGTCAGTTAAGTATAAACTTAACTGCCTTTCCCATTACTTGCTGTGCTTAAAGGGCTAACAGAAATATTCATGTAGGCTAGAGTATACCCAGAAGCAATCTTTGGTAACAGTTTCTGTACTAGTTAATAGAATTTTCTTCAGCTTTAAATATGCTTCCTGTGCTTATTGATGAGCAGGTAGTGATAACTGTCTTGAGAAAGACAACTTTGGTTTACTGGATTTAAAAACCATGACAGTTTTGCCGTTTCATTTTTAATGTTGATATTAAAACCTCACAAACCAGACCAGAATAACTAGATGGAGCCTGACTACCTGACTGTTACTGTTACTGACTGTTCTTTCTCATCAGGGCCACAGTAGATGGACCAAGATCGAACAGGAAAATACTGCAAACAGACCTTAAAAAGTCCAGAGTGACTGGTTTGTTGAGATAGAGGACTTCCTGAGACTTTCGCCCTGAGATACTCTTTTTATTTTATTTTATTTTATTGTGATTTGGTTGAAAATTTACAGAGCAAATTCATCTTCCATACAGCAGTTCACATAGACTTTGTCTCGTGACATTGACTGTAATCTCCAACGCAAAAGCTCTCCTCCCACTTTGTCCCTGTAACCACCTCTTCCCTGTGTCCTTCCCTCCCATGCACTCCTGCCCCCCAAGCTGTCTCCTTGTGCATACACAGTCCTTCTATTCTCCCATGATTGATCTCTCCAAGGAATGTATCTACCTAATGTAAATGTTCAGCTCATATGCCTGTCTTTTGTTTGGCTGGAAGCCACAGGTGTGGGTTCAATTCCAGACCTGAAGAGCAGTTAGGGGCCATAGTCCCAGTGGTTCCATCAGGCTTTATCAGACCAGCAAACCTGGTCCCCCTTTTTTTTTAAATGATTTTGAGTTTTGTTCCACATTGTTCTCCTGCTCTATCCAGGATCTCCTATATAGATCCCCCTCTAAGTGATTGACAGTGGTAGCCAGGCACCATCTAGTTCTTCTGGTCTCCTAGTCATGGAGGCTGAGGATTGCATGGTGTACCAGTCCCTTGAACTAATTGTTTCCATCCATTTTTGGTTTTCTTCATTCTTCTTTGCCCTGGATGAGGAGAGACCCGTCATTGCATCTACATGGCTGCTTGCAAGCTTTTTAGATCCCAGTGCCCTGAGATACCTTGAACAAAGCTATCCCTTGAGGTCACCTTTTAGGAAAATAACTGATTGGCACACAAAAGAAAGGATATTACCCCTGAGGAGGATGTTGCTTTAAAAAACCATCTGTATGAGACCAAAAGGTCAACAGTTACTCTAAAGCTGAGATTCTCATCTCAGCGTAAATAGATAAACAGGCAGGAAACTAGAGCACTAGAAACTGAACAGTCAGAACTCAGACAAAGAGCATCTTTACATATTATTAAAAAAAATGTAACTAATGTCACTGAACAATTTGGGAAAGTTGTCAAATGGAAACCTCATTTACTATGTAAACTTTCATCAAAAACACTGTATTTAAAAAAACAAAAACTCACAAACCATGAAGCTCATTTTTTTATTACCATCTGACATTTTTCCCATAAAATTTTTAAAGAATCTACTCCATGTGCACACATGCACAGTTTACTGCCTTGTGAGAAGGTGGTATGTTGAAGGAAAGAGTCCTAGTTAGTCCTTGGTTGTTAGTCAAGCTACTTAACCTTCTGAGTATTAGTTTACCGATTTGTTATATTATTTGAGATGATCTGTGGTCTAAATTTATATAAATATAGAATGCATGTACTCAAAAGGGGCAAATTTTAGGGCCTCCCCCCCATTGTAAAAGTATAATAGTACTTATCCATTGGGTAAAACTTAACATGAGGGAAAAACCATTTACAGTCCCATCATTGTTAATGTTTTGACATTCTTGCTTCTAGAATTTTGTCTTTATGCACACATTTAAAATCACATGTAAGAATCCTCTATAGCTAATAATATACCAAGTGCCACACACCAGATCTGCATAGTAACTGTCATCTGATTCAGTCCAAGGCAGTTGGCTATGCTGAAATAAATTCTCAGTAGAAAAAATGAAAATACCAGAAATTATCTGTAACCTAATGTTTGCTCAGTTGATTCTCTTAAGATATATTTATAAAGAGAAAATTATGAGAAATTAGAATAACAGCAATTTTTCTACATGGATTTTCTTATGTCTATTTGTTTCCTAGATGTATTCTTAAGATGGATCATCACTGTCCTTGGTATGTAAAAAAAATAAATCAACTAAGGGGGTGGGGGTGAGAAGGAGAAAATTTAGAGTGATTTACTTCAGTTTTCCTAAATTTTGAAGGCCATTTTAATTATTCATAGACATAAAATTGATCTGATTATATGTGTGTGTATGTATTTATATAAATACTTTTTAAAATATTTTTTATGTCCTTAACCCAAATAATAATGTATTTAAGAATTAACACCAAAATTCCAAATAAATGTGATAATTTTGTTCCTTATAAAATTTATTAAAAACAAATACAAGACATTGCTCCCTTACACTTTCCAGATGACCCCTTATAAGGTAACAATTATTAAATTTTCTGATTTGTCTTATTTCTATAGTGTGACTTTCTTTATTCTTCTAGGGTGAATAACTGTGTGGGATTTTCTAATTACAAATTTTTCCTGCTGTTTTTATTGTATTCCCTATTATATTGCCTTTTTGTGGCTACAACAGTTTTACAGTACTTTATAAAATTTTGGACGGTAAGTCTTTTTTTCTGACTTAAATAATATTTGACACTTTGTAAGATGCTGTGTTTGTAAAGATTTATTTCATTCTTTATTACAAGAAGATATGCTTTATTCCAATTTTACCAGTTAGATTTTTTAATGGATCAGAAGACGGCTAAAATTTACCTTTGTAGACACATGTTTATTTGTACATGTATATTAAGCAGGGTTTAGTGACCTTCTCGCTTAGTGATCCACATTGGTTCAGCAACACGCTACCAGTAGTTATCTTACATTTAGGAAAGTAATACTTTGCTTTGAATCAGTGAGACCCAATCTGACAGTAACAAAATGACACCTCCAGGCCCTATAACCACTAATCTGCTTCCTGTCTCTGTGGATTGTACAACGTTGTTTCATGGCAGTTGATTGAGAACAAGCCAGATGCCCATCAGTAGGGAACTACTAAAACTAGGATATATGTTAGAAAGGAGCAGGCTCATCCTTAAGAGAGAATAAAGAAGCTCTTGATGAGAAATTATGTGAAATGATCTTTAAGATCTGGTGCTATATAAGCATACATAGAATATATATTGTATGTTACTATTTGTATAAACCAAAAAAAAAAAAAACCAAACTCACTGCTGTCAAGGCGATCATATATAAATACATATTGTATGTGTAAAGACCACCTGTGGGAGAACGCATTAATAAATTGCTAACAATCTGATAGACACTGGCCCTTAATCACCCTTTGGGCCTAGAATTGAAATCACTCCCCTGGGTTCCAGCCAAATAGTACACAGGCATGTAAGGTGAACATTTAGGACAGATAGGTACACTCCTTAGAACAGTCAAATCATGGGAGACCAGAAGCAGCATTTGCATAGGGAGATAGCACAGAGGCAGAAATGCATAGGAAAGAAGGACAGAGGGAAAAGGTAGCCACAGGTCAAAATCATTTTTAAAAAGTTGAGGTTTGCTGGTCTGATAGAGCCTGGTTAGACCCCTGAGACTGTGGCTCCTACCTAGTTACCCTTCAAGTCTGGAACTGAACTCACTCCTGTGGCTTCCAGCCAAACAATAGACAGGTAAACGGGATGAACATTTATATCAGGAAGATACATTCCTTGGAGTTACCAATCATGGGAGAACAGAGGGGCAGAGAACCTAGGGAGACAGCTCAGGGGGCAGGAGTGCTTGGGAGGGAAGGACAGGGAAGAGGTAACTACTGAGAAGACGTGAAAAGAGAGTTGTTACATTGTGGGGAATTGAAGTCAATGTTATGAGACAAAATATGTGTGAAATGCTGTATGGAAAATGAATTTGCTCTGTAAGCTTTCACCCACACACAGTACAAAAATTTTGAAAAAGAAATTGCTAATAGTAGTAACCTCTGGGGTATACAGTTGGGGAAGGGAGCCGTGTAATATTAACTTTGCCTCCTGATGTTGAAGTAGACAAAGATTTCTTAAATAGAGCATAGGAATCACCAACCTTAAAAGAAAAGATAGATGAGTTGGATTTTATTAAAATCAACTGCTTTCATCTCATTGAAAGGCAATTTAAAAAGCAAGCTACAGATTGGGACAAGATATTTATAATGCAGACATCCATCAAAGGACTCATACCCAGAATACATAAGGGAATGCCAAAGGATATGAATCCTTATTCAGTCATGGGTTATAAATGTTTCTTCCATGTTTTCTGTTTACAGCTTCTAATTCTGGTTTGATTGGTGTTTTGGGGGACAAATCAAAGTTTTATTTTTTGACACTTTTAAGGCTTCCCCCACCACCATCTATTTATTTCTCACTTTAGTCTTTTCATTGTAAATTTATACAAATAATCACCCATGTTTGCTTCTGGTACTTTTTATGCTTTTGTTTTTACATTTAAATCTTTGATTTTAAAGGGAGGATTATTGTGGTGAAAATTACTCATACATTTCCTCTCATTAAAAGCCCTTTGAAGGAGATATTATTATTGCAGTGTTCAGAATAGGAAACTGAGATTGAAGAAATAACATACCCCAGGCTGTGTACTTAATAGTATAGAAAGCCAGAATTTCAATTTACATCTTTCTATTCCAACCTCAGGAGCTCTGGTAGCATAGTGGCTAAGGCACTTGACTGCTAACCAGAAGGCTGGCGGTTCAAACCCACCAGCCACTCCTCGGAAGGAAGGTTGGGCAATCCTACTTCCGTAGTGATACTGCCTCGGAAACCCAAGGAGGGGTCGCTATGAGTTGGGGCCGACTCGACGGCAAACAACAACAACAGTTCCAACCTCAAGACACTTTCCACCATACCTTGCTGCTTACAGTCATAGTTAGAAAGTTGTGAGTAGGGCCCTCAGTCACCAAACACAATTTTTTCCTGGGAAATATATATTTTATAGAGATTTTCATCAAAATATTAAATTTAAAAACTTGAGTATATAAAATCAGGGGGTGCTAGCACCCACAATGCCTTTGTGTGTATCAGGGAAGAATGCCACTTCCTCTGGATGCTCTCAGCCTCATGGATTTGGGCCTCTGTTGTTGTCCTGAGCTTGGCATCTCTGTTCAGCTTACCACCTACTCAGCTGTACTCAGTGGCCCGATTTAAAAGAAAAGAATTCAGGGCCAGAAGAGTGAAGTCCATATGAGAGAATTTCATGTTTCTCTATCAGGAACTTCAAGCAGTATGTGATTTATTAATCAAAGAATAAATATTCTGTAGCTTTTAAAATTAAGTTTATCATGAGTAAGGAAATGGTAGTAAATTGAAATCTACCATTCTCTTCATTTACACAGTGCATATTTATTGAGCATTTACTATGTTCCAGGCATTGTTCTAAGCCCTTGAACTTAATTGCTTATCAGTAATCCAAACAGACAAACAGTCCTGTCTTTGTAGAGCTTACTTTTGAGCAGGGGGAGATAAATAATAAATGTATTTATTTATTGTCCTGTGTGTTACAGAAAGTAAATGTTAGGAAGAAAACAAAAGTAGGGCAGTGAAAGGGATTTGGTGAGTGTGTGGGGACAGTTCTTACCTGGGGCATCTTTTGGTATAAAAGAGTGATCAGAGTAGCCTTTACTAAGAAGGGGAAATTTGAGCAAAGATGGTAAAAGAGTTATTGAACCTCTGGAGAAGAGCAGCATGTCAGGCAGAGAGGACATCTGAATGGCAGGACAGAGGCCCCATGACAGGCACATCCCAGGTGTGTTTGAGTAACACAAGGGAAGCTAGTACGGCTGGAGTAGAATGAGCGACAGACACATGGAGTTCTAAGAACTGTGGCTCCATGTTGTCGGATCTTGGAGGTCACTGTAAGGATTTTTGGCTGGTATTCTGGGTGAAATAGGGAACTACTGGAGTGTTCTGAGCAGAGAAGTGACATTATTTGACTTTTAAAAGGATAGCTCTGATTGCTGAGTTGAAACTATGCTATAAAGGAACAAGTGTTAAAATAGATACAGTGTGCATTTCAAAGGCTGTTTCAGTAATCCTGGCTTGACCAAGGTAGCATGCAGTGAACGTGGTAAGAAACCATCAGATACTGGCATTTAGAAACTTAATCTGAACTGGTTTTTTTAAATCTGTTTTCAAAAACAATTTTATTCCCTCCCAGATACACATCCTTTGTATTAAAAATTGAGTGAAAAGGGTGTATGTATATTTAAAGGTTCCTTGAAGAACTTCATATTCAGGGTGTTTTCTTTGAGGAACAGCCCTACATGGATTTTACAGAGCAACGTCTTAAAGATCCTTCAAAACACAGATGATTTTAAAAGCTGACGTTTTGGGTAATTCTGTATAAAAATTGGTTTCTTAATGCATTGTCTTTATTTGCACAAGCTTTGCCGCAGGAAATCTACAGAAAATTGTCCAAAGGTAAAATACGTTATTGCCAATGATGTTCTTATTATCTCTTTTGTGATGTTTATAATGATTATGTGTGGTAATAGTTTGCTTCACGAGATGGGGAAATACAAGAATTCCTTGATATGTATAGAAGATTTTGAAATACTGTGGGAGAGAAGAGAAAAAAGATAAATGTCAGAATAATGCTAAAAGCCTTTCTTATAACTTGTACAGACTTTTAAAGTCAACCAGAACAGCCTCATTTTCTGATGGAGTAGGTGGTTTGCCTGTGTAGTTGTGTGTAAAAGCTAGCACTTAAAGACTTACCTACCTACTATTAATAGATACTGGTTTCTTTGAAGTTAAGAATTTGTTTCTGTTTCAATGGACATGGCCATAAGAAGAAGAACAGAGGAAGGTGTTTTCATTCATTAATACGTATGGTAAACTTATTTATCAAACTTGGTAATTATCTACAAAGGCTCTGCAGAAATGGAAGAAGGGTGAAATGGATAGGAATCGAACCAGCTGAGGCCATGTGCAACTTTGCTGTAGTGGTTAGAAAATGAGATTAGAAGAGTATAAGAGGAAACTTAAATATATCACAATTAGTTTCTGGTTAGCATCATATATATATATATATATATTTAAAATACATTTTAGCATAGGTGAGGGAAAACCTTCATATGTCTAGGATGTTGGGCAGACTGAATATTTGCATAAAAGTACAAAAGTAGATTGTTGAGTATAAGAATCCATCTTGCTATTTTATTACTGAAAATATTGCTGAAGTTTTTAGATAAGAGCAGTTTTGAAGATGACTCTCGTGTCGTAATGAAAATACGCGACTGTGATGATAGCAGTTCTCTGCCTTGGCAGCAGTTGCTTGTGGGTACATTATCTAATTTATTTTCTTTTTCCTCATACTTGGCAGATTTTTTGGTAGGATCAACAATTTTTATTTAAACTAAGTAATAAGAGTATAATTTAGAGGTCGACGATCCTCAGAATTAACTTCTTTTTCTCTTTTCCTCAGAATGAACTGTCTGATACACGTGCAAAATTCCACGTACTTTTTCTTTTCTTTGTGTCTGCAATGTTCTTCGTCAGCGTCTTGTCACTTTTCAGCTACCACTGCTGGCTAGTTGGAAAAAATAGAACAACAATAGGTCAGTAGGTTGAAATAAATTATAATTACTTAGGAAACTGACTGCAAATGAATGTGAAATCTAGAGAAGAACCATCAAACTCTCAAAAACTCACTACCATCGAGTGGGATCTGACTCATAGCGACCCCTCCTTGGGTTTCACTACGGAAGTAGATTGCCCAACCCCCCAACCGTCCTTCCAAGGAGTGGCTGGTGGGTTTGAACCGCCAGCCTTCTGGTTAGCAGTCAAATGCCTTAGGCACTGCGCTGCCAGAGCTCCCTGAGAAAAACAATAGTCAAGTGACGATAAAGTGTTGCGTAGTTGTGTTAAAATTAACTGTGGCTGGAGAGGAACAATGAGTATGTAAAGTTAATTATTTTGAAGAAGGTTGAGGAAATGAGATTGACTTTTACATGGTTTTTCAGTGATGCATTATAGATAAAAGTAGAGAACTCAACCATATTGTCCAAATTTTAATAAGTAATACAGTTTTCACGTATTTATAGAAATGTCTTCTCCAATCAGTCTATGAAAGAGTAGATTGACATACCATCGGCAGGTTCATTCTCAGCAAAAAAATATATCTAAAGCCTAATTACACCTTGTATTTTAGCTAAAACATCATATATATTCTTTCCTTTTTTTCCCCATAATTTGTTATGTAATTGACTGGCATATGTTACAAGATTTTGAGGCTAGGAATAGTACTTTTGACATACTTAATCATTTCCATCTTGTATCATTTGTCATTCAAACTTTTTTTTTTTTACTAGTATCAGAATTAATTCTCTTTTATGGCTCATTTTTAAAATAAAATGACAGAGAAACCATTCAGTAAGGTATTCAAATAATTGGACAAACATTTTCTGTACAAAGATGATGGTATTTTTCAAACTGAACTGTTGCCATATAATCAGCTACAATTCAGTATTTATGTATTGGTTAATGTACCAGTATATGAATTAGGGATTTGTATTTATAATGTTTTATAAGAAAGTTAAAAGACTATTTGCCATCAAACAGGGTGTCTATCAGAATGGAAGGGTACAGTTTTTAAGATAGAAAGATGGCAGGCCTTTTTTGGGAGATTTTTAACATAATTTTATATTTAGATCATTTTAGTCTTAATTTGTTATTAAATGATGTAAATTATGAGGTTCTCCCAGTTTAAAGATTGCTTGGCCCTTCTTCCCCCATCTTACCCTCCCACTGTTGAACATCTTTCATTTCTATCACACCTTCATTACTGTGGTAGTTAAGGTTCTATGTCAACTTGAGTGGGCCTGGTTGAATGGCTGGGCAGCTGGAGTAGTTATTCCTCATGGTGAGACTGGTAATTAACTCCATTGTGGAATCTGCTAGAGAAGCTGGGTAGCTGCTTTAGGGATGTGGTCTGCTTCCAGTATATAAGAAGTAGCTTTGGGAAAGGTCTCTAGCTTTTTGGCACGCTTGAACCCTGCATGTAACCAAGTCATTGTTCAGCAGCCTGCCATGCCCTGCCAATCTTGGGACTTTTTCTGGACTTGAATTAGTGGTCTGCCATGTTGTTTGGTAATATTGGGACTGTTCCTTTTTATTGTCAACCTTGGATTTGTCAGCCTCAACGGCCAGCAACTGCCTAAATGAAGGAAAGCCTCCAGCTTCTGTGGGCCAGGAGCAGGAGGCAGAGCTGAAAAGGTTTGAGGGGCTTCACTTCACCTAGAGCCTGGTACTTTGAACTTGGACTTCTAGCCTCCAAACTTGTAAGAGAATAAACTGCTTGTTCAAGCCATCCCATATGTGGTATCTTCTGTTAGAGTGGCACTAGGTGTCCAAAACAATCCCTTTTCAGTGTAGTTAAACTTCCTTAGACCATTATCTGCTTTATATCCTCATCACAGAATATCTTGAAGAAGGTATTCTCTAGCCATTAGACTTCCTACAGTATCTGAAAACTCAGAAATGTCACAGAAAAACTGGATTTCTTCTTTTCAAAATGATGAATATGGTAACAGTGGGTCCATTTTCCAATGTAGCATCAGTCAGTTGGAGCTAAGTAGTAGCCAGTTGCTTTTGATGGGGCATGAACACTAATTTGCCACAGTTACCACCATGCCTGCTTCATTTGTTTCCTGCCCAAGCCCTGTAGGTATTTGAGATGTGGGTGCTTCCTGGGAAACCCAACTGTTCTCTTTGAACAGTCTTTTTCAAACTTTCTTGCCAGTGACAACAGTAAAAAATGCATTTTATATCATGACCTAGTGCATGCACACTCATGTATAAAATTACATAAGTAAAAATTTTTCAGATTTCCTAAAACAGCATTAATCTCTGCTTTGTGCAGTATGCTCCGGTATTTTCTGTTCTAGTTCATGAAAAATTCTGGTTTCCAGACACTAAATTATCATATAGCCTATTAAAGGGTTTGAACACTGAAAAGTACTGCTTTAGCACACCACTTCCTTTACAGCTTCATCCCCCAAGTTCCTGATCTTTGCCTAGTTTACCACTGCTACATCCACATTTTTGTTGTCCTGTCCTTTGGGGGTTATTTTATTCTGTGTCACCTCTTCCCTTCTTCCTGTCACCTACAAACCTGGAGATTCTTTACTTTCTGGTTTCATAGCTCACCCTTTTCCAATTTGATGAGGCCCTTCCTTCCCCAGTTTACCCTATCGTTCCCAGTATTCAAATTTCTGCCATCATCTCATACAGGCAATCTGGTCCTTTTTGTTCTGGTGACCTTTGCTATCCATAAGTCATTCCCATAACTGCACAGTAAGCCTTTTAATCATTTGAATCTAAAGAATACCTGAAATTTTAAATGTAAATATTCTATCTTTTGACCATAATCCTTTATCCTTTGAGCTCCCCCACCTCTTTACTCTGATGTACTTGCATTTTTATGTAATAACTTCTCTTAAGACTTTCCTCCCACATTTTTATTTACCGTATGGTTTCATTGCTCACCCTTTGCCAATCTAGAAACTATTATAAATGACTTTAACAATGCCTGACAGCATCCTCAAATCTTCTGCTCCTAGACTTTCTCCCATAATCCTTTTGTTGATGGATGACCTGAATCAGTCCAGCACCCAGTTTATCCATGAGTCATAAAGCTGTTGAAAGCAGCTGAACAAAATCTCACTGACATCAACATTGTTCCAGCTACGGATTTTATGTAGGTCCTCTGATCAGGTTCCTTGCAACATTTATTCTAAGTTTTCGCCATTCTCCCAAATCTTTTCCCAAATCTTACCTATTTCGTGAGTCCTTCTTCAAAGAAAAATTAGATGTAGTCGCAATTAAATTCTTATCTTCTCACCTTTATAACCCCACGCAAATGTTTCTGCTTTTATACTCATCACTGTCGTCACCCTCCCTCTCATTTCTGAGGAAAAGATGTCTTTTCTGTAAGCACATTTAACCTTTAGAACTAGTTCTCTGTCAATTTTTACTTTTCTATATCATCAATCTCTCCAACACCCTGTTTCTTATCCTAGCTTATAAACATGATGAAATGCATTCTTTTTTAAAAAAGAATGAACGAATACCATTCTTATGAAACTTGTATCTTTTCCTAACACCCACTCTACTTCCTTTATAGCCAAAATTAAATGATTATAATTACCATCTGCGTCCTCATCTCCTATTCATTGTTCAAGATGAAGCTCAAATGTTATCTCTTCAATATTTCACCTTCCCCTACCACCATCCCACGATACACACACGTCCCTATTTGGATTCTTTTACCTTGGTGCTCCCAGTGCACAATTGACTATTTTAACACTTAACGTGTTGTGAAAGTTTGAAAAAGATTATTAGACTATGGTTCTTTTTTAGAAATTTATCTTTGGAACCCAAAAACCATCAGGTACACAGTAGGCAATTCATAAATAAAGAATAAGTGAAGTTGCAGGATTTAATTTTTCTTTTTTCTTTCAAAAAAAAAAAAAGTAAATTAACCTTACATATACTTCAATAGGTTTTCAGTACTATTAGGTGATTATTTTGACATTGTCATTTTACAAGGTTGATGAAATGTTCACATGATTCTTTTTCCCAAACAAGTTTTATAACTTTATCTTTTAATTGCTACAAATATATTGTTTTATTTTAGTTATGTTTATACTTTTTTATGTCAAAGAAACAAAGTACAAAAACTGGTTTGTTCCATCTCTCTGTAATTCTGAAATAGATTGACTAGTTTTTGTTTGTTTCTTTTTTTAATGTGACAGAATCATTCCGTGCACCCACATTTTCATATGGACCTGATGGAAATGGTTTTTCTCTTGGATGCAGTAAAAACTGGAGAGAAGTCTTCGGTGATGAAAAGAAATACTGGTTACTTCCAATATTTTCCAGGTAATCTAGTTATAAAGTACGTGTGTCAGGAATTACACAGTCTGATATTGTCTCTATGGTGAAAAGTCTTAATATTCAGAAAATACAGTATATGATTACATATCTATGGGCCATTGAGAATGAAAACTCAGAATATCATGATCATGTATAAAATTTTTTATTATTTTTCTTTTTTATAGCATAAAGGAAAGTTCGAGCATATAAAAAGTAGAAAAAATAAAGATAATTTATTTAAAAACAGTCATTCTTTTTTCCTTGAAAAGAATTGTTTGAAGTAGATAATCATACAAGATTTTCATACAATTTTTTAACCTGCTTTACCAGGCGTGATGTCCTTCTCCGGGGACTAGTCCCCCTGATAACATCTCCAGAGTATGTGAAACAAAATCTGACCACCTTCGCTTCTAAGCAGCCTTCTGGCTATACGTCTTCCAAGACATTCTTGTGGCAGTTCATTCTTGTGGCAATCTATGGTATATTCAGTATTCCTCACTAATGTAATAATTTAAATGCATCACCTCTTCTCAGTCTGTCTTATACATGGATATGAGGTGATTAAAAATACCGTGGCTTGGATTAGGTATACCTTAGTCTTCAAAGTGACATCTTTGCTCTTCAATACTTTAAAGAGGTCTTTTGCAGCAGATTTGTCCAGTGTAGTAGGTCATTTGATTTCTTGATTGCTGCTTGCATAGGCATTGATTGTGGATCCAAGTAAAATAAAATCCTTGACAACTTCAATCCTTTCTGCATTTATTGTGATATTGTTTATTGGTCCAGTTGTGAGGATGTTTATTTTCTTCATGTTGAGGTGTACAGAAAGGGCATGGTGGTAGCATCCTCCACTGACCTCCTCTAACTTCAGAAGAGGGAGACAAAATCATCATCAACAGTGCAAGGCTTACTGCTTAAAGACAGATAATGCCACCACCCTCCAACCTTTTTACTAATTCTGATATCAGCTGTCCCTCCCACGGCACTCACTACTTCTGTGCTGGGTTTATATTTTGTTGCATTGGCCACACAGAACTCACAAACAGTACTCACAATTATGAGGTTTACGGAAATAAAATAACCAAACAGGCTACAATTCAGGTTCAGGAATGCACTCAGGATCTAATTCTTTGATCAGAACAATCTCCCCTCTGCTGTGCTCTCAGGTATTCCTCTCTAGGCCTTGGCCTCTTGGTCTGGCCTCTGTCCTGCTCAGGCAAGTGTTACAAAGCTCTTACAGCTCTGCTGATAGGTACACCTATGTGCACCCTACTCCATTAGCAAGGCTCCTGCCCAAAGGCACTCAGCTTTCTTGCTCCATGGGCCAGCAAGCCTGCAACTATATCTTGTGCCTCTTGGTTCCTCTGCAGTCATCTTAGCCGGTCATCTCGGTCAGTCAGTCGTTTCTGCCTGTTCATTGTCTCTACCCTCTCTCTGCCAAGTAGGTCAAGTGCAGGGATCTCAGGTCCCAAGACATGCTTCACTCCACCTCTGGCTCTTCTCTCTTGATGGCAATGAGATCCCCCTTTCTGTCTCTAGGAAGGCTCATTTTAAGCCTAACAGAATGACAAAACTAACCAATCCCCACGTTAGAGTTCCACGCACCTTATTTGCATGGTCTTAGCCAGTAATATGGTGGGAGTTACAAAGACTATGGCTACAAAAGCCATACCAAGTAATTCACTGCACCACAAGGTATAATCCATACTGCAGCTTCAGTCTTTGATCTTCATCAGTAAGTGCTTCAACTCCTCTTCCCTTTCAGCAAGCAAGGTTGTGTCATCTCCATATCACTGGTAGTTTCCCTCCAGTCATGATGCCATGTTATTCATAAAATCCAGCTTCTTGGATTATTTGCTCAGCATACAGATTGAATAAGTATGGTGAAAGGATACAACCTCAGTACATTCCTTTACTGATTTTAATCCACACAGTATCTCCTCCATACAGTATCTCCTTTTTATGTTCAAGTTGACTATCTCTTGTTCTAGGTACAAGTCCCACATGAGCCTAATTAAGTGTTCTGGAATTCTCATTTTTCACAATGTTATCCATAATTTGTTCCAATTCACATAGTCAGATGCCTTTGCATAGTCAGTAAAACACAGGTAAACATCTTCGTGGTGTTTTTTGCCTTCAGCCGAGATCCATCTGACATCAGCAATGATATCCCTCATTCCACATCCTGTTCTGAATCTAGCTTGAATTTCTGGCAGTTCTCTATAAATGCATTGCTTGCTGCAACTGTTTTTGAATTGCCTTCAGGAAAACTTGAGTTGTTGTTGTTCCTTAATTCCATTAAACAGTGCTCAGCTTTCTTGAGCCTCCATCCTTGCTTTTCAGCCTCTGTTAGTTTTAACTATCTTAACCTCTTATTTACGGATTCATTCTTCTGCCTGATTAAATTTGTTGGTAAGTCTTTCTGTTGTGTTTCTCATTTCAGTCACTGTCCCTTTCAGTTGCAGTATCTTTTTTAAAAAATCATCATTTTGTTCTTGAATTGTTTTCCTTATTTCTTTTAGCTCTTTATCTGTGTTTTCCCTTTGTTCTTTAATTATGTTTAATGTTGTATTCTTCCAGGTTTTTTTGTTATTTGGTCATCACAGATCACTTTCACTCCTTGTGTCATGTTAATTTAGATTGGTCATTACTTCTCCATTCTTTAAGATTTTTTGATTTTTTGCTTAAGATTTTTTGTTGGAGCATTGGAATTTTTTTTTTCCTTTTTTTTTAAAATTTTATTTTATTTATTGTGATTTGGGTGAAGATTTACAGAGCGAATTCACTTTCCATACAGCAGTTCACATATACTTTGTCTCATGTCATTGACCACGATTTACAATGCAACAGCTCCCCTCCCA